TGCCCTGGCAAATGTGTAAATGTGTGTCAGGAGTCAGGAAGATAAATTCATTTGTTTAATTTGAACACTGCCAAACCGAGGCCACAGAGTTTATGATTTGCAACGCAACACCCATGGAACATGCACGCCCCTATGGCGAAAACATAATTTTCCTGAAATCATGGGCCGGTGATCGGTCCGCCGGGTAATCTATCTATCTATCTACCTACCTATCTATCTATCTACCTATCTATCTATCTATCTACCTATCTATCTATCTGTCTGTCTGTCTATCTATCTATCTACCTATCTACCTATCTATCTATCTATCTACCTATCTATCTATCTATCGATCTATCCAGCTACCTATCTATCTATCTATTTATCTATCTACCTACCTATCTTATCTATCTTATCTATCTTATCTATCTTATCTATCTATTCTATCTTATCTATCTTATCTATCTTATCTATCTTATCTATCTTATCTATCTAATCTATCTAATCTATCTAATCTATCTAATCTATCTAATCTATCTTATCCTATCTTATCTACCTTATCTATCTTATCTATCTTATCTATCTTATCGATCTTATCTATCTTACCTATCTTACCTATCTTATCTATCTAATCTATCTAATCTATCTTATCTATCTTATCTATCTTACCTATCTTATCTATCTAATCTATCTAATCTATCTAATCTATCTTATCTGTCTAATCTATCTAATCTATCTTATCTGTCTTATCTGTCTAATCTATCTAATCTATCTAATCTATCTAATCTATCTAATCTATCTAATCTATCTAACCTATCTAACCTATCTAATCTATCTAATCTATCTAACCTATCTAACCTATCTAACCTATCTAACCTATCCAACCTATCCAACCTATCCAACCTATCTAATCTAGCTAATCTAGCTAATCTAGCTAATCTAGCTAATCTAGCTAATCTAGCTAATCTAGCTAGTCTAGCTAATCTATCTAATCTATCTATCTATCTATCTATTCTATTCTCATTCTATTCTATTCTATTCTATTCTATTCTATCTAATCTATCTAATCTATCTAATCTATCTAATCTATCTAATCTAATCTATCTAATTTATCTAATCTATCTAATCTATCTAACCTATCTAACCTATCTAACCTATCTAACCTATCCAACCTATCTAACCTATCTAACCTATCTAATCTATCTAATCTAGCTAATCTATCTAATTAATCTATCTCATCTATCTCATCTATCTCATCTATCTCATCTATCCAATCTATCTAATCTATGTATCTATCTATCTCTCAATCTGCAAGGTTGCAAACTAAGCAAGTCTGCGAGATTCCTCAAGTTTGGAACTAGACAACATCAAAAACGAAGCAATTCTACGAGACTTCCTCCTTTTCGAAGTTGACAACATCAAAACCGCAGCAGTTCTGCGAGACTTCCTTCAAAAATGGAAAGTTGAGTGCAGAGCTGACGCCCTCGTGCCAATGCGTTTTACGATTTTTCCACTCCATCTGTGTAAAGTGCTGCGCCTGCCACGAAAAGTGATGCCAGGTCATACGAAGTGCTGCACCTGTCACGCAAAATCATCTTAGCAAACCTGAAGATCTGATGTTCCAAAATGCAACCCATCTCAGGACATCAGCGCCCTGACCTCCTAACATCTCTGATGAACATGTCTTTTGTATTGTGCCTGCCACGCGAAATGCATCTTTCCAGGTCCTCTTCAAATGTTCCACGCCTGCCATCTTTTTTGGAAATGCTACAAAACCATCACGTTTTACTCACTTTTGGCAAGGTGCAGAATCCCTCGCGCCTGCCACGCAAAACTGCATCTGAACATAGACCGTCAGTTTTTAACATCTTTGACTTTGAAATCAATGTGCTTCGTGCCACAACAGCCTGCACTGTTTCGACATCTGACCTTCCAAAAAAGAGCCCCGAAGCTGAGGTGTTTTGTACATTTTGACTTCGAAATGTGCTTCGCGCCACAACGGCGTACACTTTTTGAACATCTCAACTTCCAAAACTGCTTTGAACGTGGTGTGTTTCGTGCTTTTTTGACGATTTTGACGTCGAAATGTGCTTCGCGCCACAAGGGGTGCGCTTTCTCAACATCTCAACTTCCAAAACTTTCAAAAGTGTTCTGAACCCGTCAGTTTTATATAACACCTTTGAGTTCGATATGTGCGTCGTGCCACAACGCCGTGCATTTTTCGACATCTCAACTTCCAAAACTGGTCCAACCATGCGGTGTTTTGTGCATTTTGAGCCGCAATGGCGTGTATTTTATCATCATCTCAACTTCCAAAAGTGGTCCGACGTTGGTGTGTCTTGTACATGTTGACTTGGAAATGTGCTTCGCGTCGCAACGGCGTGCACTTTTCTTTCTCTCAACTTCCAAAAGTGCTCCGAGAATGGTGTGTTTTGTACGTTTTGACTTCGAAATGTGCTTCGCGCCACAACGGCGTAAACTTTTTGAACATCTCAACTTCCAAAACTGCTCTGAAGGTAATGTGTTTTTTGCATTTTGACTTCGAACTGTGCTCGCGCCACAACGGCGTGCGCTTTTTCGACATGTCAACTTCCAAAAGTGCTCCAAGAATGGTGTGTTTTGTATGTTTTGACTTCGAAATGTGCTTCGCGCCACAGCGGTGTGCACTTTTTCATCTCTCATTTGGCCAGGTGGCTCCGCACCCGCCGCTTTGGCGAGTGTACTTTTCGACCCTCCGGAGCCACAAGCATCGGAAAAACACAGTGTTTCACGACTTTTCTACCTTTTCGCGCGCCTGCATCTTCTTTCCTCTGACTCTTTCTCTTCTCTGATCTTGTTTCTTCTTCTCTTCTCTTCTCTTTTCTTCTCTGACTCTCTTCCGACCTCTGCCTTTCCATCTGTCCATTTTGTCTGAAATTTGACTTCTAAACTTCCTTCGATTATGCATCTAGATAATAGCAAATAAGGGCGCATATACTTACACACTAACTAAATGTTGTTTTTTCGCCGTCTGCAGCACCTTCCAGGCACCCAATGCGGCTCGAAGCCTAGTGCGAGGTCTACTTTGCGTTAAGCCTTCTCTGAGGCACTTGGGCGGCTCCGTCTTGAAGTTCCAACATTATATGTGCAAAACACATATCATATAGTTGCATATTAATACATATCATACATTCCTATAAACAATTACTATATATAGACAGTATATATATATACACACGTCAATACACTGTAATCTAATGCAATGTAATGTAGTATAATGTATTATATTATACTATATTATAATATATTATATTATATTATGTTATGTTATGTTATATTATAATGATGTTACATCACATTACATTACATTGCATTATACTATATTATATTATATTATACTATATTATATTATATTATATCGTATTTTATTATATTATATTATATTATATTCTATTACATTCTATTATATTCTATTATATTCCATTATATTCTATTATATTCTATTATATTCTATTATATTCTATTATATTCTATTATATAATATATGCATGTGTAACTTGGGTTTCCTCGGGTCCCCTTTGTTTTTTTGTTTCCCACCAGATAGGAACTGAAGTTTTGAGTTGCTGACGGCCTCACCACATAGGAAACATCTTGAAATCTGAAACATCCTGAGCCACATATCAATGCAATTTTTATGTTTTTTTTTAAAAAAATGCAATTTTATGCAATTACGGCAAATTGGTGTTTTTGCCTTTAGGATGAATGGTATGTTTGAACGTTGCTGTTGTTTTGACATAAGACTCAACTATAGGTGGTTTGAATGCAAACGTTCTGTATATGCCCACCCCTTAACCGCGCCTTTTATTTTCACTGTTTGTTGAACGCACACGGTGAACCCATGAACCCAAACAAATCCTATCGTTGCAGGCTTACGGCTGCTGCTGCTTGCGAACATCATTGGATGCAATGTTCAATCCTGAGCAAACCGAATTGACGGCATGAAACATCCTAGAACATCCTGGAACTCCCTCAGCAAATGCCGCAGATCTTTTCACGTCCTTGAACTGCCCTAAACGCACCACTGTTCTTGAATTTGGTGGCTCCCACCCAACGCCAGGTTGTGACAAGGCAGGAACTCTCAGCCACTGACATTGCGACATTTCCTTTGGATTGCGCAAGTGCCAAATGCTACTGGGAAGAAAATAATACGAATTCCTCTGCTTGCATTTGGAAATGGTTGAAATTTGTGTGGGCAGGATTCTGCAGAAACATCAAGTACAGAGGATCAGGAGAAGGATTCGGTCGTGTCTCACATTCTCGCTTGCTGACTGTAAATCATCTTACAGTGCAAACAAACGTAAACATATGTAAATTTCATATGTCAGCATTGAAAGCAAACCATATCTGGACATTTGATGAAATCTGGTTCTGAGCCGTTCTGCCTCTAGTTTCTGTAGCTGCTGCTCTGCCAGGTCCCCGTTTGAAAGTGGAAGTCACGACCTGAAAAGGACGTTTGAATCTCAGTTTACACCTTTTGCTTCCCACAGGCCCACAGGCAAGTTCTGAAGGCAGAACTGGACTTAGACTTACCATGACTTGCTCCATGACTTGCTCCATGACTTGCTCTTAGAGCTCTTCGAGGCCCAGGAGCTTTGCTTGGAATCTGGCTGCCGCGTCAGATGCTAGTTTGGAGCCCAAGGCCTGACAGCTGGCAGACACTAGGAACCACATTGCGGCGGTGAACTCGTCAAGTCACAAGATGTCACAAGATGTCACAAGGCTTCCTCATAAGGACTGTTCAAGCCACCAAGTTCAAGCATTGTGATCACAGTATGCTTTCAATGCTTCGTGGCTGCGAAAGACAAGGCACCTGGTGCCTGTAGGTTTGAATATTCCAAAAACAGGAGACGGCGCAGCCGAAGCAGACCTTTATCAACTTTATTGACCTCAGAGAATTTTATTCTCTTGAATCGAAGACTAGTTGGTGACACCAAATGTGTCAAGACTGAGTGTGTTCCCCCTGTTGGGATATTGCCATACTCGTGTGTTTGAAGGGTCTGCATGCAGAGTGTAGAGAATCCCAAATGAAGGGATCGATTTTTTTTTGACCATGACTCGCATTTCTTTAGACGAGTCTTGTTGAAAGAAACTTGGACGTTGTTTTGTGGCACTGCTTTGCCGCCTTTCCCATGGTGCAGGGGATGGTATGCCTCCCACAGGCACCTATTGGCCATACTCATCATGCTGCCAAATGGCACATTCCGTCCAGAGTGCCAAAGAATGCTGGACCGGTGCCGGCCACTGCTGCTGTGATGCTGGCAGCGACACAAAGAGCATGGGCATCGAAACCTTCGAAATCGCAGAAGGAATCGCAGAAGGAATCGCTTGAGGAGGTGATTTTGGCTTTGATGTCTTTGACATCTTTGACTCGGCGTCGCGACTCTCGCAGTATCATCGCCCAGCTGGAGAAGCTACGGATGCTGCGAAGGGAAACGATGACTTGGCAGGCGGCTGCTAAGCTTCTGGACGCCTTGGAGAAAGTCCTTGATTCGTCTCCTTCGTTGGGGCCACCGTTGCCTTTGGATGCTTGTGTCACGGCTTTGATCGCAGCAGCCAATGCACAAGCTTTGCAGAGACGAAAACTCTCTGCGGAGAGACTAGACGTCTTCTGCCAAGCACTGGAGAGGAGCTTAAGTGCAACGGAACCTAGTGAGGCCCGTGAGCCTAGTGAGATCGAGCGGCTTCCAGACCTGCTGTCGTATGGTCTGTGGGCATTGGTCAAACTTGGGGATCGTGGTTCGTTTGTGCTGCAGCGATTGTTGCAGAGGTCCGTAGCAGAGATGCAGCGATTTGAATCTGCTCATCTGTCACGACTAGTTTGGTCCTTAGCAACAGCCACCATACGTGATGGTCAGATCTTGTCGTCCCTGGCACAGCGCACGCAACAAGTGCGGTTGCATCCACAATTGGGCCTTGCAATGTTGGCCTGGTCGTTTGCGAAGCTTCGCTTCAAGGAGGCGGGCTTGATGGAATCGATCAGTTCGCATGCCTGTGGCCATGTCAAACTCTTCAAAATTAGCGAGCTCTCGAACATCACCTGGGCCTTTGCAACTCAGCAGGTGCCCTTCGCCACTGCAAGTCCGCTCTTTTCCGCTATATCTGAAACAGCAGTGAGAGGGTTGGAGAAGTTCAAACATCAAGAATTGGCTATGCTACTTTGGTCTTATGCCAAATTAAAAATTGTGGAGCGCAAACTGATCTCTGCAGCATCTGAAGATGTGTTGAAGCGAATTTCACCTGAGGCGGGTGGGGCTTTGCGCGCTCAACATTTGGCCAACTTCGCTTGGGCCTTTGCCAAGATGCGATCAGATCGATCAGATCCGTCGGATCCGTCGGATCTGGATCCGTCGGAGGTGGTGATGCGTTTGGCCGTGCTGGCGCTGCAACGCGCGGAGGAGTTGAAGCCTTTGGAGTTGGCCAGTCTCGTTTGGGCCTTGGCACAGAGTAACGGTGCCAGCACAGCCAGCACTCGCTTGGCCATGCACCTCACAAAGGAAGCCAGCACCAGGAGGATGAAACCTCAGGAGCCAAAGATCATAGCCATGGGATCATGGAATTTCCTGTATGTCTCATATATGTCTCCGATGAAATCAGTCCTAGCAACTCATGCCAATGGATTGCAATCGGGCAAGCCGATTTCACGAAGTTGTTCAAATTCATGAGATCTATTCTACTTTGGTTAGGGGGAAGCACCTCCGGCAAACGTAGGCAAACTCAAACGACATATCAAGCTGCATAGGCTACATAGGCTTCGGCTTAGGTGTAAAGCTTGCAGAATTGATGCTAGTTGTTGCTGGCTCCTGCTGCTCTGTCATATCACGCGCAGTAATTATGTGACCATTGGTGTTGATCCCATTTACTGATCGGTGACATGACTCCAATGCAAAGTCGAAGGACTGTAGTTGCTATTCTACCCTTGCGATCCCATGGGCTTGAGATAATTATTCTTCAGGTTGCACATGATGCTCAAGGGGGAGAGAGAGAGAGTCAGTATACATTACATGCGTATATGATACGTATATTATGAGAAGATAATATAATCATAAAATATGTAACAAGATATATGTAGCGATATGTTTCGATGATACATGTTGTCAGCAAGTTCCACCGTTTCTTTGGCCCTGGCTGGAACTACCATAGTGTGGATTTCATGTTGGATTGCGCTACACTAGGCATTGATCGCACAAAACTTGATCAAACTCTGCTATTCTAGTGCTAATGATGCAGCAGACTGAATTTTGGGAGAGCCTTGGGATATCAACGCCAAGTGGGCCAAGTCAATTCATGCCAGTTTGAAGTTTGGCGCCAGGAACTCTGCAATCTCCTCTGGTCAGCAGCAACCTTGGCATTTCACCAACAAGAGGTGCTGAAGACCTTGACAGCGAAGCTCGATTGGCAAACCACCAACCAATTTGGCATTTTGGATTTGGCAAATGCTTCCTGGGCCCTTGCAAAATTGCAGCAGGATGATTTCGAAGTCTTTCATCGTTTGCAAAAACAGCTGGATTGCCATCTTCAGGATGCCACGCCACAGCAGTTGTCCAACCTTGCCTGGGCCTTCGCTACAGTCAGCATTGTCGATGGAGTCGCTGGTGTCGATGGTGTCGATGGTCACACCACCATGGCGAGGATTGCCAACGAAGCTCAAGATCGCATCCCTCAGTTTTCTTCGCAAGGCTTGGCAAATCTAGTGTGGGCCCTGGCGAACCAGAATGTGAAGTGCGATGCTTTCTTTCAGGCGGTTGGCGATCGGTTGGTCTTGAAGTTGGATGATTGCCAGGGTTCCGATGCGCTAGCTTGGGCTGTAGACATAGCGCAAATCGTCAAGTCTTTTAATGATATCTCGTTTCACCACCCTTGTGTATCGTGGTCAACACATGCCCTGCCCCGTGTGGGATCGGATTTGGATCGCCGTCTGCGTGCTTTGGAAGAGATACCGACACATCCGACACAGAAACTTGAGAAATCTGACATCTCTGACATCTCGAAGTCTGAATCCGTCGGATCGCCCAAGGTGCTTTGGGAGAGCGAGGATCGTTGTGTTCTTCTGAAGCCACCAGGGTGGCAAGTGGATACTGAGGGCACAGAGGAAGACTTCATTGAGAGAACTCATGCTACTCGCGAAATGCTTTCGCAATTTATGGCATCTAGCTATGCAACAGTGAAATATCCCATTTTGGCGGATATAAAATGTAAAAACGGTTTTCTGCATCGGTTGGACGTGCCATCTTCTGGACTTATTTTGGTTGCAAAGAAGTACAACGCATACTTCGACCTTCTAATGCAGCTACATCGTGGGGAGATTCACCGAGACTATTTAGTACTTCTGCACGGTTTAGCCCAGCGGAAAGTCGTGGCAGTGCGCCTCGCGAAGGAAGCCCTGACCAGTTGGTCAGGTCGGCAACACGTTGTGAAAGATTTTTTCCACGGCAACGAGAAACAGGGAAAAAAAATCAAGAGCTTAAAGAAAGGAAAGCCCTCCTTGACTGAGCTGCGGGTGGGAGGATGGGCAGCTACCCGAGAGGGTGGCAGCCTATCCCTGGCAGCCATTCGAATCGGTTCCGGACGTCGGCATCAAATCCGAGTTCACATGGCTCATATTGGACATCCAAGTGTAACTGATGGAAGATACACGACGGAGGAAACTTTTTTTGAGGATCAGCAATGGTGCGAGCGAAACTTCTTGCACCGTTTCGGTATTGGCTTTAAAGATTCGGATGGCTTGCAGAGCACCATTTGTGAGCTTCCTGAGGACCTTTGTGCAGCTCTTTGGCAGCTCAGACCCTGGGACATGCAGAGTGCTGAAACGATGGATCTTTGGCAGTCCATCGGACCCATCGATACTGAACCGACGTTATCCTCGTTATCGTCCCCGTTGACTTGGGAAGATATGCCATTGCTTCAAAAGCGTGCTGCTTGCATTCCTTGAGACAGCCTGACTCAGTTCCGAGCTTCTGCGTCTGTAGAAATAGACTTGTTTGTAGACACCTTTGATCACCTTTGTAGACACCTTTGTAGACACCTTTGTAGACGCCTTTGTAGACCTGCATTGGCAGATTGGCAGATGAAGCATGAATCATATGAAAATCATGTGAATCCATGTGCTGTTCACACCCTTCACATCCTATCCCTGCAAAGGCGACGCTGAGTCAGCATTTGGAGGTCTCTGTCTTGTCTCATCTTGTCTGCATGTCTGCAAGATTCACTGTAAGGACAGCAAGGACAGAAGGAAAAGAAGGAAAGCGACATGAAACGCAGACGTTTGCAGGTGGACATGAAGAGTGCTCATGGCCTGACTGTGTTCAAGAGCCAGAAGGTGTGAGAACAGATCTTTGATCTTGGTGTGTGGTGACCCCGAATCCTGGGAAAACTTTGGCGCCTCAAAAGGGAGGGCTAATTATTTTAGGATTTTTTTTTTGATCAGGTTTAGGAATTATTTTTGGATTCCTGCTTCTCTGCTTTTCCTGCTTTTCCTGCTTCTCTGCTTTTCCTGCTTTTCCTGCTTTCCTGCTTCTCTGCTTTTCTGCTTTTTTGCTTTTCTGCTTCTCCTGCTTCTCTGCCTTTTCTGCTTTTTTGCTTTTCTGCTTCTCCTGCTTCTCTGCTTCTCTGCTTTTCTGCTTTTTTGCTTTTCTGTTTTTCCTGTTTCTTTGCTTCTCTGCTTTTCCTGCTTTTCCTGCTTTTCCTGCTTTCTTTGCCTTTCTGCTGTTTTGCTTTTGTGCGTTTCCTGTTTCTTTGCTTCTCTGCTTTTTTGCTTCTCTGCTTTTTTTTTGCTTTGCCTGCTTTAAATACTTGATTTTCATGTAAGATGCATTTTGCACAGTATTTACATCCCTGAGTATCACATGACCAACCTTCTCTTGAAAACTAGCAACGTAACATGTGAGAAGAGGTGCTTGCATTCTGCTTTGGGGGGAGGCGCTGCGCCCTCCCCCAATCCCCCCCTCCCGCTTTTTTTTATTTAAACTTAAACCCAAGTTACATTAGTTGGTTTTTGCGAACTAACCTTCTCTGGAAAGCTGACAGGATTACATGTGATAGATAGATAGATAGATGGATAGATACACAGATAGACAGATAGATAGATAGATAGATAGCTGATAGATAGCTTGGTAGATAGATAGCTAGATAGATAGATAGCCAGCCAGCTAGATAGATAGATAGCTAGAGAGATAGATAGCTAGATACCTCGATAGATAGATGGCTAGATAGATAGCTAGATAGATAGATGGCTAGATAGATAGCTAGATAGATAGATAGATAGATAGCTAGCTAGATAGATAAAGAGGTAGCTAGATAGATAGCTAGATAGATAGATCTAGATAGATAGAAAGCTAGATAGCTAGATAGCTAGATAGATAGTAGATAGATAGATAGCTAGCAAGATAGCTAGCTAGATAGGTAGATAGCTAGATAGATAGATAGATAGCTTGCTAGATAGATAGCTAGCTTGCTAGATAGATAGCTAGCTCGATAGCTAGATAGCTGGATAGACAGCTGGATGGCTAGATAGATAGATAGCTAGATAGATAGAAAACTAGATAGCTAGATAGCTAGATAGATAGTTAGCTAGATAGCTAGATAGGTAGATAGATAGCTAGCAAGATAGCTAGCTAGATAGGTAGATAGATAGCTAGATAGATAGATAGCTTGCTAGATAGATAGCTTGCTAGATAGATAGCTAGCTAGATAGCTAGATAGCTAGCTAGCTGGATAGATAGCTAGCGCCCTCGCTCAATCCCCCCCACCCGCTTTTTATCTAATCCCAAGCTTCCGCATCTGTAAATATTTGGGTGAACATGCTCACATGTAGAACATCCCATGCAAAATGGAAGGTGAACATGCCAAAATGTGGCAAATACCATACAAAATGGAAGGTGAACATGCCCACATGTAGGAAATCCCATGCAAAATGGAAGGTGAACATGCCAAAATGTGGCAAATACCATACACAATGGAAGGTTAACATGCCCACATGTAGTAAATCCCATGCAAAATGGAAGGTGAACATGCCCAAATGTGGCAAATACCATGCAAAATGACAAATTCAAGTTCCAAACCGTTGCAAACAGTAGGCAAATGGTACCAGCCAAGAAATCCAAAAAAAATTCCCAAACCTGTTCAAAAAAAAATTCCTAAAACTATTTCACACCCCCTCAAAAGTAGAACAAGCTGCTGTGCAACTGAGTTGGTTACAACAGGTGAGAAACCATGAGAAACATTCAGAAACAAATTGCCCACCATGCCAGCGTTTCCATATGTTTCCATATGTTTCCATATGTTTCCATATGTTTCCATATGTTTCCATATGTTTCCATCTGTTTCTATATGTTTTCATTAATTCAATTCGAGGTCGCGAGCAAATCATGCTCCATGGCACCTGAGGGGGGCCGTGGCATTGTACAGCGAATATGGCAACCTTGTAGCAGGTGATTGCAACGTGTTTTCGCCAGTGATGGCGACAAAGGACCCTGAGCGTGCTGAGTTGTGCTGGTTTGGGCACGTTCTCAGAGAATGCAGTGCGTGTGCAGACTCGTAGATCGGACTGCAAAAGGCACAGAAACAGGATGAAGTCTGGGTGCTGCGGCAGTGCTGTCGAAGTCTTCTTGGTAGCGTTTGACTGTAGTTGTCACATGTTGTTGCTGGTTGTTTGTTGTACGTCCCTGTGTCGCATGGCCACCCGGCATGCGCCCGCGTTTGCTCCAACACACTTGTTTTTGGCTCCGGTGAAGAGATTCAACGACGATCTGTTGCCAAGCCATTGTGCCTGCTGTCAAAATTTGCACCCAACAACCTCCCAAAAAGTATCTCGACCGTGGCGAAATCCGATCCAAAACCTCGCTTGACAAACACGACGTCGCAGGAGTTAATTTATCAAGCTTGCGACAAGTCTGCCAGAGGCATCACCGTGACATCAAAGCAGAGACAGTGCTGCAAGTGCAAATGTGACACCATTAGCAACATGTCATATGAAACCAGTGTACCAGCGCCTACTCAGCGACCGCGTTCATTAGGAAGAACCAGTCAGACCATAATAAGTCGTTCACGAATAGCTGCCTTTTGCAGATTCCTTTGCAAACGGCTGCGCGACATCTGCAAATTGTTTTACTCCCCTTGCAAGGCAAGATGTATCACTTTTTGACTTTTTTGGTCCGGTCATGATCAAACGCGTACGTTGAAGAAACACAGCATGCAGTTGGTAGCAAATCTCTGCAGGGGTTGCGCTGGCCACCTGACCGACCCAGCGCCAACAGAACGCGACAATTTTGCAAAGAAGCCACGGGCGGAACCGAGTAGTGGCGAAACTTTTTCAACGGTGTCCTGCAAAGATTTACAAAGTATTGAAGTTTCCTGTTGAGGCAAGGCTCATACAACATGCGGTCGAAATATGCTTTCACTGATGCTCTGGACACATCTCAGATCGCGACGAAGACTTCATCTCATGTCGCTACACAATCGTATGACTAACCGACGAACCCATGATATGAAGAAATTATTGAATAAACATGAATGAACACTAGTAAGAATCAGGAGCGACTGTGACAAGAACAGAGTCACATCTTCACAATTCGCAACGGCCTCTTGCATTCCAGCTGTGTGGACAAAGACTGCGTTCACGATCGTTCACGTTCCTTTTTTCAAAACTGCGTTCGAACATGTGCAGCAACAGAAGCAGCGACAAGCGCAGACACTTCGTGAAAAGCGCAATCCAAAACATGGCTACTAGTAGCTAATGCTAGCTACTTAAACCAATAGAACATCTAAAGATATCTAAACTTTCTAAAGGCAGGGGAGTATTCGGGGAACCTTCACCTTCCACCGAAAGTACTCCAGTAGCATCGAGGTTCTTGCAGAACCAGTTCCGCAGTTGGAACTTTGAACAGGACCTTCTTGTAACGCAACCTGCTGTTGGGCACGACCGGGTAGGATTGAGTCCGAACTGCTGATGAAGATGATGAAGCCAATAAATGACAACATGGCACCATTGTGTGCTGACTCTATCACTCATGTCCTTGACGTGCACATGTTGTGAAGCTGCGAATTCTGGAGAGAATGCGTGCCATGTTTACTCTGATAACTAGATACCTAGCACAGACCCCCTTACATGCGTATTCGGATTTGCTGGGACTAATTTGAGTTTCAAGCAACCTGCAGATCCATGTGAAAAAAGTGAAACAACTTGGTGTACTGCATGATGCTATGCATTTTTTGGTGATTGCGTGCTCTAAGGCACTCAGCTGTCAATTGTTTTCATGCAACCCTTGTGGCAAATTCAATCCAACATGTTTTTTTTTTCACTTCAAAGACCCAAACAACTTTCCATGCTTTGCTTCATTCATCGCAGACCATTCAATCCACCGAACCCATGAATGCCAAAAAGCTAAAAGATCACAACAGCGGCTCCCATTACATACTTCGGCTGTCATACTTCGGCTGCGATTCGAAGCACATAGTTAAAAAATGTTAAATAGTCCTCACGTGCCGCAATACACAGACCGTTGAATCCAGAAGCTGAAAACAGTTTAATCCCGAATTGTTGCAATTTATGGGGATGTTAATTCTGCACACCCTTTGGACGAAAACAAATCACCCCCAACCAGTTGACTGTTGCGGCGGTACGCACCCATTTTCCAATACTGCACAAGCGCGGCATGAGACCAGAATTTCACAAGGTATCACAGCATTGAGGGTTACATTGTTTTTACGTGCGGGCAAGACCTTTGACAGGCCCAGCCCATGACTTTCCAAGGGATACCGCACGATTTCGGGTCCAAGACCCTTCATTTTGAAAATGCCGACGCGCTGCAGCTTGCAATACGTTCAAGAGTTCAGCCCAAGACATTAAGCAAGCACCTTGACTCCCCAACCATAACTTGACCTTAACCCGAAAGACTCCAAGACGTTCAATATTTCAACATTTTAAGTGCTCCAATCTGCTCCAATGCTACAACCCGCGGAAACTTAAAGCGCACGCTTCAGCCCAAAGAACCACGAGTGCACATTACACCATGTTACACCTGAAAAACTTCAAGGCCTCTTACGCCAGAGAACGCTTGAACGCCCAAGAGCTGCAAACTGTAACTATCTCCGAAATTCTTCATACCACAGGTGCCACAGAACTCTTGAATACCAAGAAGATCACCTGTACAGGAAACACATGGAAAACCATTGTTCTTTTGACACCTCCGGGTGTCAAAAGTAGTTTTCCTACATTTCAATATTTTCAAATCTAATACAGGCAAAGCTGACCAGCCTCCTGCACGATCAATTGTGCCAAGGAGGGGGGTACGATTTTTTCCTAGGTCGTCAAAGTATGATGTCGGAATACCCTGGCGTCTCAAACAACGTCAAACTAAGTATCGCAAACATACGTATTCTAATGCCGTCAAATCATCAAACATATTGTTGATATACGCTGGCTTGTTTATGTTGTCAAATATTCATTCCACAAACTCGCCACATGTATGCGTCCATCAAAGCAAAAGGAGGAAACCCACGCTTCACAAAAACGTATTTTACAGAATGTTTTTGTGCGCAATCAAGGGCATAGGGGAAAAACATGGAAAAACACAAAATCGTTGCGGTAATCTTTTTGTTGCTAGTTTGTGGGCTATGGATTGGAATTATTTGAGGGTCCACAGGCACCGACAACAACCACAATAACACAGAACAAACATGGGAAAACGCTGCGGAAAGACACGGCAACATGATGCAACATTACTCAGCCACGGTTGTTGCGAGGGTATTAATCGGACCTTTCAAAAAAGGTGGGGTTGAACATTACACAATTTGTGCAAACTGCAGGGTTTGAGGGTAGAGGTGATAATCAAGACTCTCCCGGGGCACAATCCACAGAACCCTAGACTGCCCATACATCACGTTCCAAGCGGTACGTCTGATAAGCGCTTCAGCCGGACTCCAGCCCCAAACTTTATGCTTAGCATTCGGCTCGCGGTTGTGTTGGAATTGGCGGCCCAGATTTTTACAGCCAAACTTTGTTTTCAACAACCCTATTTGACCGATCACCAAGTCAAAGGTAGTTGGCCCTCACCTTGTTCAAACAAAACCTTGCAAAAAATAGTGAGGAAATCAGCCTGCAATGTCGGCAACCAATTGAAAACACGAAGACAAACAAGGTTACGGCGCCTGTGGAAGTGCGGCGCTTTCAGAACTTTCCAAAATGATGATTCGACAGCCTTTTTTCATCATCATGCGAGACGCCGCATCCAACGTTGTTGTTGTTGTGGTGGTAGTGGTGGTGGTGGTGGTGGTGTTTTTTACACAACTTGGCCAACAGATCCCATAGGGAGTAACCAGGAGCCAAGACTTCATGCAACCATTGCCATATTAGGCAGTGTCTCATCAGCGCAGCTGCTGTTCCATGCGCGTTCAATTTCCAGGAAGAAAGGCTGCTGAGTTGTATGGTTTCATATGATCCTCTTGTGAAAGGCCAATGCAATGGCCAAAATGATCAAAGGTGCATGGCAAAACGGCGCGGCCTATTTTCCACACAAGAAAGTCTTAGCTCAGGGCCCTACAAAGGCCCAACGATCCAATGGCCGCGGTCATGTGGCTGGTTTCAGTGATAGTGATGCCACTGCTGCCAGTCATGCCAGACATGTGCTTGTCTGTGGTGGAACGTGAAGGTCCAACCTGCAGGCAAAAGGTTGCATCACTTTGTCACTGGTCCTTTTTTCTTTGGACCTTCATCGTCCTTGTCGACCAACTGGATGAAAGGATCTTGAAGCCATTCCAGAAGTCGCTGTCTCAAACCAGGATTCATTTTTGTCAAGCCGTCTGCCCACATTATTTCCGTTGATATCCATCTAGTCTGTTGTGGAGTCACGCACTGCTGGATGGCACGGATATTGACAAGGCTTCTCTTCTCAGACAAACTGGGGTTCATTGAGACAATGGCATCGTACAAGGACTTCGCGTCTGTGGCCTGAAGTCTATCCAGTCTGCAGCTGACCAAATGCGCAGGTTGGTTGTACAGCAGTTCTGAAATCATCAAATTCAGGTAATCAGACCTGTCGCTTCCTTCGTCTGCTGCGCAAGCTTCAGCAGCGAGTGTACTGCGATAAACACGCGGAGATCTGGCTGACCTCCAGTCAAGGATGGCACCCTTGGCAATCTCGTTGGTCGCATTGGGAGTGGTGACCAAAATCAAAATTCCCATTTGACTTGAAGAATGGGCTGCATTTGCCCAACTGGCATCTGTATAGGTCATCAAAACGCTGTTCTTGTCCAAGGGAACATCTTGAATAATCATTCCCAGGTTTGCAGTATCCTTGGCATGCTGCAGAGTCATTCGCTCGAGCAATTTCATATGAGGAAACCAACCTTATTACGCACTTGTCAGCCCAACCAGCTGGCATCCACATCGTTCATCTCGATACCCTTCTTCTTGCTGCAGAGTTTCAGCCAAGTTCTTCATGTCGTGGATGGTGGTCTGCTGACCATGATTGCACAAGGAAATGGCGGACGACACATCGGGCCGTGCTTGAGATCCAAGCCACTGTAGGCATCCGGCTATGCTTCTGAACTCTTGCTGTTCACTGGCCGTGAGCAGCTCACCTTTCTGCAGCCTTCCTCGGGGTAGTTGATATGTCTCAACTGTGTCGAGGTACTTCTGCATGGTGATTTTGAGGACAAATCTGCCGTTGGAGTTTTTTTACAAAGGTGAGCTCTTTCCCCTTGAAGGTTTTGCTCTCGTTTTGAACAAAATATGAACGCTCACCCCATCGAAACTTGCCAAACAGCTCAGTTGGGTCATGGTCCTCTCGGTGGATGCCGAAAAAATCATCCACGTAACACATCACCAAACTGATCAATTGACCATCCTTGCCATAGAGGCAAAAGAGCATTCGATCAAAATCGTGGCGGACATATCCCAGGGCTGTGAGTCGGGCTACTACTTCCTCCATCCAAAGGAAGGGAGCGTTTGGAAACCCGTAGATATTCCCTGTGACTTGGTAAAGCTCGTTCCTCCAATAAGGCGTCATGTCGATCAATGGGTCGCAAGGACGCTTCAGGAACAAAGGCAGCTTCCTTTCTCCATCAGGCTGTCTGCCCTGAAGGAAAGCCGTCTGAGCATCACCCAGCCAACTGTGCCAGAGATGTTTGGTCTGGTTGAACTCCCGATTCATTCCCGAGACGGCAATGAGATAAAGAAGGTGTTCTGTTGCTCGCCCCGGAGTAGGTGAACTCCTCCTGAGATCATACAGGTCGGGATCTTGGTGTCCTAAAGCTACTACCCTGCATTTCGCTTTAAGCTCACCTTGATTTCGGTTTTTGTCTCTATATGCTGCCCTGCTTCGCAAAATTCTTTTGCGAAGGATTGGGTCTGCCTTGACCTTGTTGATCTCCTCTTGGCTCAATGGTCGGATGGAGTTCCATTCCGCCCAGGAGTTTGCTTCCTTCTCTATTGCGGCCAAAAACTTCTGAATGTATGCAGGCGGCATCTTCCATATCTCCCTCCAAGGAAGTTCTCTATCCAATTGCTTCATCTCTTGTCTAGTGAGTCTGGAAGTTGGTGAGGATGAGGAATTGGGCGGAGGGTCAACGGAATCCTCATCAGAGTCCGCTGATGTGTCGGACTCGTATGCATCTTTGGTTGTTCCATCTAAGTCTTCCTGTCTTTGTGCCGTTGCTGCATAGATCTTGAAGTACTCATTGCGAGTTGATCCATAGCCAAGGTCTGGTGAACCGTCATGCAGCGCTGGTTGATGGTAAAGTCTCCCATCCTCATTGCGTATGGTGAACATGACATCAAAAGGCCTCTTCTGTGGAAGCGTTGGCAGTGGTTCATCAGCTTGAGGTGGTGGCCTGGAACTTGCTGCTCCTGAAGTTGCTTGTGGTTGTTCAGGAATCTTCTGTGGTTCGCCTGACGGAAAAAAAAAACGAAACGGAGACGACGCCAGGGTCAGCATTTTGTTTTTGAGCTTGCACTGGATCGCCTGGCTAAATGCCAGTTGTCTCAATTTCATGAGAGCTTGAAACCACCGAAGTGGCAGGTGTGGGCTGCGACACCGGTGGTTCTAATTCATCTTGCATTGCGGATTGCTGACCCATGACCTGAGGGCCGGTTCCATCTCTGTGGATATGGCGTCTCTGATTCTGGATCTAGAGGTAGCTGCTGTTGTTGCAATGCGGCATCCCCAGCAATCTGAGCCAAGGTCTCCAGGAGTTGGTCTTCACCTGGTGATTGTTCATCAGGCTGGGCACTCGCACTGGATTGCAAGGCTGGTGGTGATACTGGTTTGGGCACGGTTGCTGAAACCCTCTGTGCTGTGATCGGCTTTGGCGATCCTGATCTTCCACGTATTTTTGCTATCGGTGGTGGTGTGGAAGGCTGTCGCATCATTGCCTTTGGTGGGGTGCCAAGCCGTTGATAGACATTTGTTTGTCGGTATGTCGGGCTGCTGATGTTGATGTTGGTGTTTTGTTGTTGCTGCTGTCGGTAGTGCATGGTGGGTTGTCGAATTGCTTCGGGAGGCAATTGTGGTGGTTCGGGTTCAAGTGGTGATGGTGAAGGTTGTGCTGGTAATGGAGTTGGTGGTGCAGTCAAACTGGGTGGAAGCTGATCTAAGGTGGGAATCTCATCGGCCAAGGTTTCATCTGGTGCTTGTGGGCCTGTTTCATCCTCAATCATGTTGTCGAAGAAGGACTTGCTAGCATCTTTCAAAACTGCGTTGTCCTCTGTAGATGGACTCCATGACTCAAAACCCATGGCTCCACGAAGTTGTTCAGCTGAAACAAAAACTGTTGTGTTGCCCGTTCTCAGCGAGGCAAGTTTGGTTGGTGCCGAAGGATCCCAGCTCAAGAAACGAGCAATTGCCCAAGCTCCACGCTTTCTTTGGCCCTTCCTGTTCCAACGCCAAAAGGCGCATGTCTGTCCAGGCATCAAGTCTTGGTACCTGGTATTTCTTGTGCGACGTAGTATGGCACGTCGGATTTGTTGGTTGACGTTCAAATCAATGAGGTGCTTCTCTGCCTCTGAGCGAATGATCTCGGCCTTGGCCATCAGGTTGTCCTGCGGCTCCAAGGTGGTTGGGCTGCTTGCAATGGCGGCATCATCTGTCAAGATACCGCCTGGGAGTCGGGGTACGCGTCCAAACACTGCTTGGAAGGCCGTTCGGCCCCTTGTGAATGTTGAAGCATTGATGGCATGAAGTGCAGGTGCCAACAGTTGCTCAAGTTGTTCAACTGTTGATGCAGCATACTGGTCAATCAACTTCTCCAGCACGCATCTCAGCACTGCATTCCGCCGTTCAACCATGCCAATCATCCAATGGCATTCAGCCGGGCAAAATTCACAAAGGATGCCCAGTGCTTCAATCTGCCGTTGACATTCACCACGGAAGGCCGTGTCTGGGTCGAGGACAATCTTGAAAGGAAGGCCAAAAGGTTTAAACCAACACGTCAAAAAGATCTGAAACGTCTCGCTGGCATTGCGGGTCTGACATACTGCTGCTTGATGGTATCCAGTTGCCTTTTCGACCAGGCCAAGCACAGGGATGGCCTCAGAAGTCATGATGCGCACAAAGAAGATGCCTCCTTGAAGTTCATCTCCAAATTGTCCAGCTACAAACTTAGGCATCGTTGCAGGTCTCGGTGGTTGAGGAGACTTCAGCCTTTCACAGGTCGAACACTTCAGGTGTTGCACTGCCGTGATTATGTTGGCAGGTGCGCCTCCATAGTAGGCGATCATTCTCATCAGTTCTTGTTGTGAAGGATGGCCCAAGTTCAAATGTAGCCTTGCCACCGTCTTCTTCACTTCCAAGGATATTCCATGTCCGCTCGGAAGGTTGGGAAAAGTGATGTCCGTTGGCAAATCAGCCAAGGGCAGCGCAGCATTCTGGTGGTCGGCAACTGGTTGAAGATCAGGGACTGCCCGCATGTCACCATACATGAATATGGCTACCTTGACAGTCTTGTGGAAACGCTGCTTTGGAAACTCTAACTCCTCAATGTTGTCGACTTCCAATTCTCTTGAACCATCAACAAATTGCAAGAGAGCAGCTCGGTGAGTGGTCTTGGCATCAAACGCAAGTGCAGTTGGGATTCTTCTTGTGGTAGGTGTGGAGGCGCATTGTATTCGGATGGCGTCCATCCGAACAAGATCACATATCTTCTTTCCCATGTCTGAGGATGGGTCAATATTGAACGGTCGTTTGGAAGAACGCTCAAAGGTGCGCTCCACATGACTGACAATGTCATTCCACAAAGAAAGATCTGCGACTGGTTGAGCCACTGGAAAAACATCAAAATGAGCAAAGCGACTTGGTTCGCGAAGGTGCATGGCCTTCTTGAGATATTTCAAAATGAGGTGAACCAAAGCATCTGGATACTCTTGGCTCTTCTTGGTCATGGACCCTTGGATTGGCGTACAAAACTGCCGGTCCTCAGGAGAGAGCCGCTGGCCAAGCACCTCATCTAATTGTGGTATGTTCCCCCAGAAGTTCATGGATTTGATGATGGGCTTCTCATCAATCTCCGCACCAAAGGCCCCGGTGTCCAAAGTGATCAACCAAGTTTGAGGCAGGTTCAGTAACTCGAGGATTTCTTCCAAAATCCACAATCTTGACTTCTGGGGGTTCTCAATAAGGAAGAATCGCCCCGCCCGATGCTGTAGCAAGGCTAGCTCACAAACAAACTTCACCAGCTTCTTCTCGTGGGTCCTCATCTGACGCAGCAACTCGCGTCGGTTAGAATAATTGAGGTTCTCATTGAAGATTGACCAGAGGCGGCAATCAAGGCCCATGATCAGTGCCCACGGTTTGAAGCGATGCACAGCAGCCACAATCTCTTGTTGGAGAGCAGGATCATGAAGGTCTTGTTGGGGACCATGCAACCAATCCATTGGCTGAAGTGCATTGAGGTGATGGTTTCCAGCAAACATGGTAAACTTCGCACTGCCAGCAAAAAGCTCGAAAACGTCAATGGCCGGGGAAGGACGCTTCACAGTTGCAGGAAGGGAGTCAAAAAGGTTGCGCTCGGACTCCAAGACGTCCGCGTACTTGTTCAACTGGCCGGTGATTCTGCGACGGTGTCCCAGTCGTAGAACTCCTCTTCCGCATCTTCCTCTGGAACTGGAAAGTTGTGAAGATTGGACAGCAGATGCTGTGCCGCTTCCCCTGCTTGCGCCATCCTTTGAATCTGCTGGTAGTGCTCCTGGATGTAATAGCCCATGTTCTGACGCATGTCTTGCCTCATCTGCTCTTGTTCCTCCATTGACGTGCCTGGTGCCAAATCCTGGAACGCCATCTCCAAGACTGAATTGAGGATCTGTTGTTGTTGATCCGGAAGTGTCAAGGTAGCTGGGGTCGCTGATGACCTCGGAGCTGCCTTGGGCTTGGCACGATACTTGGGTGCCCCCGTCGTTGAGGACGGACATGGCAATGGCAGCGACCGTGTAGAGGAACTTGCCGACCCACGGAAATCGAGCCAAGTCTCTTGTGCTTGATCCCATTTCCACCTCCTTCCGCATTGGTGGCATTGAGCGTACCGACCCGTGGGATTGCCGTAACGGCGAAAGGTCGGGTGCTGACACGTCATTGGATTGACCTCGAAGTCCAAGGCCGGAGGCACTGCCTGAATCAGCCATGATCTTGGCATCAGGCCCAGTCTCACAGCGCCCACCATGAAGATGAAGACGTTGCGCTTGAAGGCATTGAGGGCCTCCATCAAGCGCCTCCATCGGCCCATCCATTGAGGTGGCTGTGAGAGCATGAGAACGCTGAGAAAGTTGTTCAGGAACTTCGTGTTGAACTGAAGTCCCAGCGAATTGAACCATCGAAGGCTTCGGAAAAATACAATTAGGGTCAGGCTCATTCCAAAAAACTGGATTCGAAAGTTCTTTCCACTCAGGCAACTCAACTGGATTGACATGTTGTGGAAACTGTGAAATGTCGATCACCAAATGCCCTGAGATCACTTCAATGGGTAAGGGGACCTTGACGCTGGCAGCGCAAGGTCTTCTTGGGCATATCAATGTTTGCCTGCAAATCTTCCAAAAGTTGATGTGAACCAAGCAATGGGATGTTGGCTTCAAGTACTGCTGCCCCAAGAAGAAAAACACGTTGACTGCCAAAACCAACTGGAATATATGCTCTGCAGTTCGCTGTCAATGGGTTGCCTTTGCCAAACTGGAAAACATCTTTGCAGTCAATGGTATGCGATGACAACTCGGACATGTTCTGCAGACGACTGTCATGTGCACGAAACCAGTCAGCTCCACAGCAGTTGCGCTGACATCCGGAATCCAAAATCAACTTCCCGATGAAATCACATGGTGAAAAAACTTGTACTTCATGAACTTGAAACTCAGAAATGCCGTGAACCATGCCACAAGTAAACAAATTGCCATAGTCTTGGGGGTCAGAAACTTGTACTCTTCCACCAGGCTTAGTGTCGCTGCGAAAGCTCGTGGCATTGGGCTTCTGAGAAACTGGACAATTGCTGTCACCCTTCCAGTGACCCTTCTGTCCACAAGCCATGCAGTGAGAGTTCTGTTTCTTCTTCGCTATGGCGGCAGAAGACTGGGACATTGGTGGCTTTTTGGTAAATTTCCTTCCCAGAGTCAACCCTGATAGCTTCTTCGCTGTGACTGTTAGAACATGGCTCAAACTAGCCAAATCCAACTCGTCATCTTCAACAAGCTCTTCCTCGTCGTTCTCGTCGACTGGATCTTGTTCCTGATCTTGAGACTGGTCTTCAATGACCTCCTCTTCATCTGCCGGCTCATGCTCTGCGTCTTCATCAATGGCTTCTGTGGCTGCGCCATCATTTGCGCCAGCGACAAAAACCTTGGTGACGGGACTAGATCTCTTAGAGAAAATTGCCCTAGTAGTGGAGGATGAAGAAGAAGAGGACGTAGTGCTAGTACCTTTGCCCTTTCCAGATCCCTTAGAGAGTTGGTGAATGGGAGGAGCACCACGAAAGTCAGGATATTGAAGAACCAAAGCCTCAGCGATCATTTCCAACTCCAGTGATTGATGAGTTCCTACCAGGATCATCCGTTGAGCTTCTGCAGACAAACCTGCACGGTCCAACAAACGTGAACCCAGTGCCTCGGAATCATAGGCAGAAGTCATTTCGATGCCGACGGATCTCAAATTCCTCAAAGCACGCCGGAAACGACTGATGTAAGTCCGCATGACCTCACCTTGAAACCGCTTCAGCACTTCATACTCATGGATGAACTTGCGCTTCTGGAACACTGTGCGCTGCTCAAAAGGTGTTTGCAACTTCTGAAGTATCAGATCCACTCCAGCTTCGGCGTGCACCTCGGAAATCGACAGATGCTCAAGTTCTTGCTCTGCATCGCCAGTCAAAGACCCGTATAAGAGCAACGCCTGGTCTGCTTTGCTTGCAAATGGTTCCATTTGTATCTGCCAGATTTGAACCTTCTTCTTGAATTTGGCAAACGCTCTCAAGTCTCCAGGGTCATATTTCCAGGACGGAGGTGGCGGATGCTGTCCCGTCCTCCATCTCAAACCAGGTTCAGGGCCTTTCTTCAGACTCCACTCGCCTAACTCATCATCCTTCAGCTTCTTGATTGCTTTCGCAATGGGCTCTGAAGCGCTGGAAGTGGGGCAAGGAGCTGGAAGGCGCTCTGCACCATTGACGCCTTGGAGATCTCCAGAACGATGAAGTTGTCCCGAGTCATCATGCGCAGCACGTCTCGCGCCTCCGGCTTCAGATTGCACGTGCCGTGGCAGGGGCTGGTCATGGAAACTGGGATCAACACAAGGGTCCTGAGTCAACACCTCAGATTCTGCATGCTCAGCGCCGCCAATATCAGGTTGTCCATCACCAGGGCCAGGATTCATCCGACGTCTTCGTCGTCGCCTTGCAGAGCGAGACGACGTGGGTGATGCTTCAACCTGTGCAGCGTGGGGCATGTAAAGCCAGGTGCCAGTGTCAGTCTCAGTACGCCTTGTTTGGTGCACGTTGTAGAAATCTGTTGAACCGCAATCCAGACACTCCCAACCACCGAGAACCGGCATGGATTCGCCAGAGTCACAAACTGCGCATCTCCAATCGGGAAACATCATCCGCTCAGCTGTATTGGGCTCAGAATAAGGCTCACCTGGAAACGTCGCGTCTGGTGATGCATCGGCATCGATCCTCTCAGCAGCATTCAGTGATGGGGTCCAGTCACTCACGAAAGATCTTAGATTGGGCAATGGAGCATCCATACCCAAAAAGGTCACCAGGCGCACGCAAGCTCCGGTGCCAACTTGTGAAAGGCCAATGCAATGGCCAAAATGATCAAAGGTGCATGGCAAAACGGCGCGGCCTATTTTCCACACAAGAAAGTCTTAGCTCAGGGCCCTACAAAAGCCCAACGATCCAATGGCCGCGGTCATGTGGCTGGTTTCAGTGATAGTGATGCCATTGCTGCCAGTCATGCCAGACATGTGTTTGTCTGTGGTGGAACGTGAAGGTCCAACCTGCAGGCAAAAGGTTGCATCACTTTGTCAGATCCCAAGTTCGGTCCATGAAGGAGAAATTACGACGTATCAAGAGCGTCTTGGAAGTTATTTGAAGAAAATTTTACAACGTATCAAGGGCGTCTTGGACGTTACTTGAAAAAATACGACGTATCAAAAGCGTCTGGGAAGTTATTGGCGAAGATGTTACGACCTGTCAGGAACGTGTTGGAAGTTACCTGAGAAAAATCTTACAACGTATTAGTAGCGTCGCGAAAAAAATTGAAGAACATGTTGCGACGTAGCAGGGCGGCTTGGAAATTACTTAAAGAAGATGTGACGACATATCAAGAGTGTCTTGGAAATTATTTGGAAAAGATGTTGCGACGTATCAAGAGCGTCTTGGAAGTTGTTTGACGAAATCGTTTGACATATCGAAAGCGTCGTGGAAATTGGTAGAAGATTATGTTACATTGAAGGAAAAACGTCGTGGAAATTACTTGAAAAATGTTACAACCTTTCAAGAGCGTCTTGGAAATTTCTTGAAAAATGTTGCAAAGTAACAATGTTGAAAAAAAAATGAAATGCAGACGGAAGAACGTCATTACACCCCTCCCCCGAACCTCCCCCCCACCCCCGGCCCAAAACATTTCCACCCCACAACACACCATTTGCAAAAGTGACAACAGTCGCCGTTCCAGGGGTGCCGCCGCCAAAAGCAACAGGGGATAATGCCCAAAAAATATACCGGCAAGAGACCCCAAACAGCGTGGGGGAGTGGCAGGATAATATATGATACTGTGTATGATGATGATGATGATGATGATGATGAGAAGGAAAATGTTGCGGAGGACGATGTTGAGGATACTGTTGCGGTAGATGAGGTGGAGGATGATGATGTTGCGGAAAATGAGGTGGAAGAGGATGATGTTGCGGAAGAGGAGGTGGAGGACGACGATGTGGAGGATGATGATGTTGAGGAGGATGCGAAAAATGAAGTTGGGTATGAGAAAGGAGGATAAAACCTAAAAACATCAAACATCAGTGGTTGCAAACTAGCAGGACAAAAACGACCCTGGCAGTGAAAAAATGCCAGGTAAAATTCAGCAAGTTCCGTTTGTGAAGATCTCGGTAGAAGATCGTGCGCAAGGACGATAGTTTTGGGGTATGGCACGGTGCAAGTTTCGTGGTTTTTCGGAGTTGCCGGTGGGATTTCCCGAACGCGTCATCATGGATGTGCTGGAGGAAGGAAACGGGAACAGATGCACATTTCAACGCAAATGGTTCCTTGCAAAAGGATTCGGGCCCTTATTCATGACACAAACTTGTCCCTATACATTTTTCCCGAATGCATAGCAAGGGTTCCCGTTTCACTCTGGGGGTCTGGGGGTGGAGGGTGTGTTCGCTTGACGTTGTGTTCGCGTCCCGCAACCTTTCGCAACCGTCCGCAACCGTCCGCGTGAGGGTATGGCCGTGCCTATGGTAAGTTCTGCAGGAGGGGTCATTTTTGGAGGTTTCCAACGTTTCGTTGCTTCGTTTCGCGTGGTAGGCGTGGCACTTTGTGACATTCAGACGCGTTCTGTAACGTGTCGAAAGTCGTTTTGTGTGGCAGGCGCAATACTTTTGCGACGTTTTCAGAAGATGCGTGGCAGTTTTCGTGCCAGGCGCAGCACTTTGGACGTGTCCATCGTCGTTTTTCGTGGCAGACGCGGCACTTTGGACGTGTCGTGTTGGGTGTTTTTTGCAAATCGCATGGGAGGGCTGCGTCAAGTGGCGACAAGGTGCAAATTCCGTGGCAGGCGTGGCATTTTGTGAGAAAATTGACGGAGGCCTCGCACGAAACATAGGTTTTGAGGTAGCAAATTTAGAGGTTCCTTAAAAAAAACCCTCGGAAAACGTCGATTTTGAAACTACAAAGTGTGAAAATTGGCGGAAGTCTCGCACGAAATGCTCGTTTTTCCTGCGCCCACGTGTCTGGTCTCGAGTCTCTGGTTTTCCTGTGGTTTCGCCGTGTCTATGGGGGAAACCGCAAAAGATCTCTTTTCGGCATGTTTCAAACTGTGAAAATTGGAGGAAGTCTCGCGCGAAATGCTGGTTTTGATGTTCCTACGTGTCTCGTCTCGAGTCTCTGGTTTTCTTGTGGCTTCGCCGTGTCTATGGGGGAAACTGCGAAACTTCTCCTTTTCGAAGATTTCCAAGCAGGTTGTCATGTCGTTTTGCGTGGGCAGGCGTGGCACTTTGTGACATTCCAACCTGTTTGCTAACGTGTCGAAAATGTCAAAATTGGAGGAAGTCTCGCACGAAATGCTCGTTTTTCCTGCGCCCACGTGTCTGGTCTCGAGTCTCTGGTTTTCTTGTGGCGTCGCCGTGTCTATGGGGGAAACTGCAAAACATTTCTTTTTCGAAAGTTTCCAAGCAGGTCGTCATGTCGTTTTGCGTGGCAGGTGTGGCACTTCGTGAAATTCCAACCTGTTTGAAAACGTGTCGAAAGCTCTTTTGTGTGGCTGGCGCAACAATTGCACTCCACACTTTGCACTCAACACTTTACACTCCACACTCCACACCCTACACTCCACCACACTCTACACTTTATACACTCCACACCCCTCACTCCACACTTTACACTCCACACTTTACACTCCACACTCCTCACTTTACGCTCCGCACTCCACACTCCACACTCTACACTCTACACTCCAAACTTTACACTGCGCACTCCACAATTTACACTTTAGACTCCTCACTCCACACTCTACATATTACACTCCAAACTCCACACTGCACTTTGCACTCCTCACTCCTCTACACTCTACACACACACACACCACACTCCTCACTCAAAACTCCATTACACTCCACACTCCTTACTTTACACTCCACACTCCACACTCCACACTCCACACTCTACACTTTACACTAGACTCCACACTCTACACTTTACACACGCCGCACTCCCCACTCCCCACTCCACACTTTACACTCCACTCTCCACTCTTTGCACTCCACACTCCACACTCTTACACTTTACACTCTACTCTCCACACTCCACACTCCACACTCCACACTCCACACTTTCCACTCTACACTCCAGACTCTACACTCTACACTTTGCGCTCTAAACTTTACACTTCGCACTTTACACTCTACACTCTACACTCCGCACTTTGCACCTTAGACTCTGCACTCCTCGCTCCACACTACGCTCCTCACTCCACACTCCGCACTCTACACTCCGGACTTTACACTTTAGACTGTGCACTCCTCGCTCCGCACTTTACACTCCCCACACTTTACACTCAACACTTTACACTCAACACTCTACACTCCACACTCTACACTCCACACTCCACACTCTGGACTCCACCACGCTCCACACTTTCCACTCCACACTCCTCACTTTACGCTCCGCACTCCACACCCCACACCCCACACTCCACAATCCACACTCCACACTCCACACTCTACACTCTACACTTTCCACTCCGCACTCCACACTCTACACTTCCACTCCGCACTCCACACTCTACACTTCCACTCCGCACTCCACAATTTACACTTTAGACTCCTCACTCCATCCACATTCCACACTGCACTTTACACTCGTCACCCCTCTACACTCTACACGCGCCACACTCCTCACTCCACACTCCACTCTTTGCACTCCACACTCCTTACTTTACACTCCACACTCTACACTTTACACTCCAGACTCTACACTTTACACACGCCACACTCCCCACTCCACACTTTACACTCCTCACTCCACACTTTACACTCCACTTTCCACACTTTGCATTCCACACTCCACACTCTACACTTTACACTCTACTCTCCACACTCCACACTCCACACTTTCCACTTTACACTCCATACTCTACACTCTACACGTTACACTCTACACTTTGCACTCTACACTTTACACTCTCAACTCTACACTCCGCACTTTACAGTTTAGACTGTGCACTCCTCGCTCCACACTTTGCACTCCTCACTCTGCACTCTGCACTCCACACTTTGCACTTTAGACTGTGCACTCCTCGCTCCACACTTGCACTCCTCGCTCCACACTTGCACTCCTCATACACTCCACGCTCCACACTCTACACTCCACACTCCCCACTCTACACTCCACACTTTGCACTCCACACTCTGCACTCTACACTTTACACTCTACACTCCACACTCCACACTCCACACTCTACACTTTACACACTCTACACTCCCCACTCCCCACTCCACACTTTACACTCCACACTCCTTACTTTACACTCCACACTCCACACTCTACACTCCACACTTTACATTCCACACTCCGCACTCTACACTTTACACTCCACACTTTACACTCTACACTCCACACTCTACACTTTACACACTCTACACTCCCCACTCCCCACTCCACACTTTACACTCCACACTCCTTACTTTACACTCCACACTCCACACTCCACACTTTCCAGTCCACATGACAGACTGGTAACAAGGGAAATATGCACAAAACTGTGCAAATAAACGATTGCAGAAAAGTGTTCTGCGTGACTGCATATCTATGTGTTTCGACATCTGTGCCACTAACATACGTGTGAGAATTCGGGTTCGTGGGCTGCATCTTGTTTTTACAAGAAGCGATCGCCAGTTTCATTCATCGACTCCATGAACCCTTTATTCCTTCCTTCCTTCCTTCCCTCCCTCCCTGCCTGCCTGCCTGCCTTCCTTCCTTCCTTTCTTCCTTCCTTCTTTTATTCCTTTATTCATTCATTCGTTCTTTCGTTCGTTCGTTCATTCGTTCGTTCGGTCGTTTGTTCGTTCATTCGTTCATTCGTACATTCGTGCTCTCGTTCATTCGTTCACTCATTCTTTCTTGTATCCATTCCAACGTTTTTGTATTTACACGTAGCACCCGGGCAAGCAGGGGGCGGAAATTTCAAAATTGAAACGCGCAACCTAAAGCTTAAAGAGCGGCAAACATTTGCCTATAA